GCAAGCATCTTCTGATTCCTCTTCTGTCTCCTTGATAACCCTCCCAAGAAGCTTGCGTCCTTTAATCTCTGTCGCAAAGTTTACGGCATGTAAATCATCTGTTTTTATTCGACCAAGTCCTGACGCCAGCGTTACGGACAAAGCGATTGAGGACCAGAACAAGAACATGTTACGTGTTCGTTGAGTTGAGTGTTGACACAAACTTCGATTTGTGCACTGCTAATCTCTCACTCCAATTCCTGGTCGACTCGCATGATTTATTCATTGTTATGGTTTCAATAACAGTAGGTTCAACAGTCATAAATATGAAAAACACTTACTATTCATTTCTAATCGACCCACAACAGTGTTCAAAGACTTCTCAAAAGTTTAATGAGTGGCCTGCTTTTTTTAAACACGTTCTCTCTTTGTTAATTAGTCTTACATCGTGTGGTTTGCCTGTTTCGTTTTTTTTCTTTTTTTTCTTTTGATAGTCAAGAATAAATAAGGTGCGTTTCGAATAGTTATGTCAATAGATAGGGTGAATCAAGCTTCTCGTTTAACATTTCGTTACAGAAAATTTACTATTTTTAAAATCATCAAATGTCGCTTAAATATGGGAAAGACAGAACGGAAGAACACTCTTTCACGTCCTACTTTCCAAGCGCAGTCTCTTATTTGGAGATTGTGGGATAATTTTATGCAACTAATTTCATTTCAAGCGGTATAAGTTTGACAAAAGGAGTCAGCCGATTTCTGGTTCACTGACTTAGAAATTTGTCGCTTCTATCACGTTTTTAAGTTATCGAAATAGTTATTTAGGTTAAATACTACAATTTTACAACGAAGACTGAGGTGTATTCTAGCCTGATTTGTATAATTTAAACTTTTTAAGTCGTTCAATTGTTCAAAGAAGGATGCTTATGCTCATCGCTCTAATGAAGAGCACGAATTCTTCATTACTCCGTTCATTTTCGAGAGAACATGAATGAACATACGTGGCTGCATGAGGAGAATCAAACATTTCAGCACGACATCAGTCGGTCATCAAACGTCGTTTAAACAAGCAAGAGGAAGAACGAAGGAACGGAAGAAAACTTTCACCTCCCACACACAGTGTCGGGATTCAAGGATAAATCTATGCAGCTACGTTTCGTCAAGGAAAAACAGGAAAAAACTGCTTCCTATGCCAAAAAGCCTTGACGTGAATCAACACAGAGACGAGGACCAGTTATGTGCATGAGAAAAAGTTGCTTTTTCAGGCCTTATTTTCACTACTGCTTATGCAGTGTTCATTACTGCGAAAATCACTCTCATATTTATCCATACTATCCATAAGCTTGCATGAAAACCAACATATATATGATGCTTTTTGTTTTCCTAAGAAAGAACCAGTTGTATTGTATCAATTGTGCGATGCACCATACAAAATCTTTTTT